ATGGCAGCATATACTATATGTATATGAAATTTAGATGTATTCTTATTGTATAATTTAAAATAAATAACCCTGTAACAGTACTGAAACTGTCAAATACAAAATTGTATTCCTGCAATGACTGCAACTACCTGCAAAATTATGTGGATATTAACTAGTACAAAAAGGAAAATCCAAGAGAAACATTTAAAATATAAATAAAAAGCATTGAAAAATGTTGCAGCTAATGATTCAGTCTTCAGTTTCAATGATAATGTTTGTACAATAAATAACACTATAAAAGTGGAGTACAATATGCTCCCTTTCATTCTGTATTCTTCCCCCACACTATCATTGGTATTGCTTTTTTACAATGGCTATGATATGAGAACTAATGAAATTATATACTTCTGCTTTATTGACATTAAATAGACAAGTAATTGACAACCTACAATCATGTTCTAAATACTTGGTAAATCTGCCTTTTTTGGAATTTAAAACACATTTTTCTCATATAAACAATGTTAAATATGATAGTCAAGTTCCCAAGCTAACATGTAAAAGCCTATTTCACCCAGATCACTGCCAGAGTAATCCTGAGACTCTCCCTCCCCGAGTGCCTCAGAGTCCCAAGGCCTGTAAGTAAGAACAGAAGTAGAGGCCTACACAAGACCATGGTGAGAGAGTTGTAGTCCTAGGAGACATGGGTGTGGGAGCACAGCTGGAAAGACACCAATGCAGTGAATAGGAGCTGGGCAAGCTCCAGGACCAGGAGCTAAGAATGATAACCTTTCATATAGCCAAGTCAATCCTACTTCCAGGTTGCCTGGCTTTCTGAAGACATGGATGTTCTTTGTTTTGATGCCTTCTGTACTCATTTCTATGTGTTTTAACTTTCCATTTAAAAGGCTTAAATAGACATGCGTATGAGTCAGATTTCTAAATAAGATCTCACATAAAATATTTGAAACAAAAGACATTTCTTTTCATTTAGAAAACTTCCATGGTATCCACCAGATGAAGGAACGAGATGCCAGGAAAACTAAGAGTCATTGGCGTGGGAGAAAACAGAGACTCATAACCCTGATCTTTTGTTAAACATGATATAAAGTTGTATAAAATTTTGTTGCTAATATAGTTTTGAAATTTCCTTGGTAGTATTTTTTTTTTTAACAAAATGCTACCTGAAACCTTTATCTCAGTTTTCTCAGATCCACAGTTTTCTCTATAGAGTAGGAGGTAACAGTTGGGTGTGTATTATTTGCAAACAAACTTCAACAGTTAGTTGGCCAATCAATTCCTTCCTAATAGAAACATAGATATCATTTTTCACTAATTAAATATAACTTGTGCCTGTTGAAAAAAAAAAACTTAATTTCAGCACAGGATGTGGTGTGTATGAAAAATAAAATAGAACTAAAATGAGATCAAATCCGGATATTTACAAAAGAAAGAATGCCTTTTCAAAATTTGTATTCAATCTCTAATATGTTCAGTTTTTAAAAGTCTTTTCTTTTTCTTTTTTTTTTTTTTTTTGAGACGGAGTCTCACTCTGTTGCCAGGCTGGAGTGCAATGGCATGATCTTGGCTCAATGCAACCTCCGCCTCCCGGGTTCAAGCGATTCTCCTGCCTCAGCCTCCTGAGTAGCTGGGACTAAAGGTGCGCACCACCACGACCAGCTACTTTTTGTATTTTTGGCAAAGATGGGGTTTCACCATGTTGGCCACCATGGTCTCGATCTCTTGACCTTGTGATCTGCCTGCCTCAGCCTCCCAAAGTGCTGGGATTAGTAGCATGAGCCACTGCGCCCAGCCTAAAAGTCTTAAATCTCTAAATATTTGTTTCCAATCTGGTTCTTCAAAATAAATTTTATCTGGAAAAAAAACCACACACACACACACACACACACACAAACACAAAATCCCTAACAGCTTGGATATCTACTTTCATAAAATAATACTAAGCTATTAGCAAGTAGAAGGAATAAAGGAACTTCAAAATTAATGAAGGAAATGAAGAGCTTTCTCAGTCATTAGTAAAATGTAGAGCCAGAGTGGGTGATAAGGGTAAGAAATATGAAATAACAATGTATAACATTTTAAATAATGTTTTACTATCTATAAAACACTTTACATAGGAATTGGGGGAGGAAACTACGCCAAGAGATATCATTTTATTATGAGAAGTGAATATCCTCACATCCCGTTAAAATTCCTCAATGCAATTCCTATATCGATAGGATAAAATCTAAACTCCTTTGCAAGGCATACAATGCTTTTTATGATATGATTCCTGTCTACATTGTCAAGCTCCTTTCCAGTCTCTTCCCTCTACCTAATTTCACTTTCTGGCCTGAGGACCACAAATTCTCTCATTCCTCCAAGCTTTTCCATGTAGAGTTCCTTGACTTGGGCAAATGTCCACTCATTCGTCATGTCTCAGTGCAAATATGACCTTCTCTGTGAATCCTTCCTTCACTTCCCCATATAGAGCCTGGCTCCCAGTCTTGCCAACATCTCTCCTTATACTGTGTACTCACTCCACCAATTCTATTTTAATTGTTTAAATGCCTAGTGTTTCTTCTCATTAGAAAACAAAGACCATGTTTTTTCTGCTTTGTGTCTCCAGTGCCAAGCACAAAACCTCATCCACAGTAAAATGAAAAGAGTAGGTAGTCTCCTAAGAGTACTGTGGGAATTTAAGGATTTATAGTCTTTCTCTGGAAAATCTAAAGCAACCTGTCAGCAGAATTATTGGCAAGTTAGAAACCTCAGCGAGTACATGCAGAATATAACTACAACTTTGTAAGAGTAAAATAAAAAACCTCATGCTTAAGATTGGAAGTACCAAAACATTAACAGTAATGTTGTTAGAGTGATGAGAAGCCATGGGTAATTTTCTGCCCCACCCCTCTCCTTTTACCTCTGTTTTCAAAAATGTCTTAAATGCTCAACTTAACCTAATATTATTTTCCAATGGTCGTGGCCCCCTATAAAAATTAATGCCAACACCCTAAGCTTCCAAAATTATCAAAGAGAAATGATGAGAACCTAGCATCATGCCATTCCATGCATGGAGGAAAATGAGAACCTAGCACCTTGTTGCCCCAAGGGTAGGAGAGAGAAAAGATGTAAGATGTTCATTCTTCCAAATCCAATATATTGGCTTTTATGATTATTCTTACTATACATTTCTGATCTTTTTTTTTTTTTTTTTTTCTTTTGAGACGGAGCCTTACTCTGTTGCCCAGGCTGGAATGCAGTGGCGCAATCTCAGCTCACTGCAAGCTCCAACAATTCTCATCCATGAGAATTGTTCAAGTAATTCTCATGCCTCAGCCTCCCGAGTAGCTGGGACTACAGGTGGATACCACCATGCCTGGCTAATTTTTGTATTTTTAGTAGACACAGGGTGATCCACCCGCCTCAACCTCACAAAGTGCTGGGATTACAGGCGTGAGTCACTGCACCCGGCCCACTTCTAATCTATTTTGATCCTGTCTTTCAAGATCCAAAAAGGGAGTACTTCCATCCAACATTAACCAATTAGCATTCATATAATGGTAGATGCTAAAGGGTATATGCTAGGTAAAATAAGACATTGTCTCTATCTCCAGGCAATTTATATATTTCTGTGGCAGAGGGGCAAACTACCTAGATAAAACACCAACAGTATATACAATTGGGGGAAATTATGTGGTATAGATGATAATCTTATTAGCCAAACTGACATATGAATATCATTAGTACCTGATAAACATGGCAGTCTCAGAAAGTATTTTTAGAATGGAAGATGACTTATTACAGCTAGGAATTATAAAGTGTCATGTTAATCAAGAAAGGTAATTTTAAAATCTTAAGGTTTGTTAAGTTTGGTTTTAGTTATGACAGAAACTGGAGCAATAAACTCAGATTTTAAACCATTGCGTTTCTAAGGGGGAAAAACTATGAAACAAATTATACCTGAGATTTTTGCCTCTGGGCTTCTACTGCTGGGAAGAGCTCCATCCAGAGGCTGAGCAGAGTGAAAAGGTTGACTTTAGAAAGTCTTGGTATCTGACCTACAAAAGAGACGACAAACACTTTAAAATGTGTTACTAATGGCGAAAAAGGGAGCCAATCTCAATGCCACTTGGGGGCTGCCGCATAAGCCCAGCTGCTTTCGCATGAGGCGAAGAAAAAGATTAGGGTATAAGAGAGTCAGAAGTATCTTAGCAGGAGACGCTTCAGTCTTAGTCGTGGCTACCTCCTTTTCCACTTAAAAAGTTGGGCACTCTTTCTCCAGCCCTCACCCTGCAGGAAAAAACGGTACAGCTAATACACATAGCTGGGGGGACAACCCAAAGCAAGCTGTGAAAAGTCTTCGCATCTGACGTCGTCGTGGTGCAAGCTTTTCTTTGGACTGTACTGGGGCGTTGCTAAAAGAAAAGCCCGAAAAATGCGCTGACCTTCGACGGTAAAGCAGTCGTAATACAGGAAATACAGGAAAGCGTCACGTGCGGTTAATTTGGAAATCAAGGCAAAAGCGCGCTTTGGAAATATTCAGGCTCTTTGACCTCATAGCCCCAGCTCTACGTCCTGTAAGAAACAAATAAGAGGGGTAAAAAGTCACACTTCAAAAGCCGGTGCGATCGAGCCGAGCGGTTCTGGCGACTGAGGAGGGGACACGCAGAGGGCGGGCAGGAGACATCCAGAAGCAGCAGGGGAGGCAAAGAGGTGCAGACAAGGAATCTGGAGTTCAATGACAGGAGACGCACAGGGCAGGGCGAAAGGTAGGTGGCGGGAGCAGGGTCCAGGACACTCACCGGTCATGCTGCCAGTCTGGGTGCTAACTGACCGCCCGGCCCTCGCGCTCTCCAGATTTTGCATCTGCCCAGCTTCTTTCATCCCAAACCTAGCGTCCTCTGCTGCCAAGGAAACCTCTCCCAGTCAGACATGATCTTGGCCTCAACGTCCCCGCCTCTCGCCTCCTCTCAGCAACTGTAAGGCAACGGCCCACTAGGCGCAGCCAGATGACGCCTCAAGCTTGACCGCCACTTCAGGGCTCCTCGTGTAACGTCATAGAGAGGCGGGGCTGCGACGCCAGAGAGCTGCTCCTCGGCCGGTGACGGAGTTGATAAGCACCGAGTTGGTAAGCACCGAGCTGTAAATCGCTTGAGACCTGTGTTTGGTTGTGTCGTTGGTTTTGCCAAGTAAGGTCACTTGAGGATTTCTTGGCTCGAGGTCCCAGGTTGCGCAGACTCTGACTGCGTCGAGTTGAGAATTTTGGTCAGAATGTTAAAGTGGAAACCTACCCCAGGCTGTCATGGTCAGTGTTTTAGAGAACTTCGTGGGTGGGGGTGTGGAGCGGGGCGGTCCAGGATGTTCTGTCAGCAGAGACTGGCGGGTTCTGGGGAACTTAGTGCCGTGGAACCCAGCAGGGACGTTCTGCTTCTCATTAAGAACATGAAGACGTTGAGAGGTGGAATTGTAACAGGGAAAAAGGTGAGAGGAGGCAGTAGGAACTATTTTGTTTTTAATTTCTAATGTCTACTTTATTTCCACAAAACATCTGTATCATACCAGTTGTCTGAAATTGGTTCAGACTTGTTTCATGGCCTAGCACTCTCCAGTAGAACTTCCTGTAATATTCTATATCTGCACTGTCCAATAGGGTAGCCACCAGCCACATGTGGCTATTGAGCATCTGAAATGTGACCAGTACAACCAAGGAACTGCATTTTTAGCTTCATTTAGTTTTAATTAATTTACATTTTAAGTAGTGACATGTGACTATTGGCTACTATTGTATTGGACAACATCACTCTAGACTCTCCTCCTGGAATTCCTATTAGGTATGGGTTAAACCATCTGAGGGTTTAAATTATTATTTTAAAAATATTCCATCATTTTGTTTCTCTGAGCCACATTCTGGCTAATTTCTTCAAATCTATCATTCAGCTTGCTGTTGATTTCTTTGGCTGTGTAGAATTTTTTCTAATTTGCCTGTTCTGGGCTCTTCAGGTGATTTGACTATATCCAGAGAACTCCATTCTGCAGCTTTCCTGAGGTCTAGACTTTGTTGACAGTGCTTTCGTGGCAATGAACACTAAGGCTTAAAGACAGGGCATGGACTAGGGGAAAATATTTGCAAATCACGTATCCAACAAAGGACTCATATCCAGAATATATAAAGAACCATATAAACTCAGAGTAAGTAAACAAACAGTCCAGTTAGAAAATGGATCAAAGACTTGAATAGTCATTTCACCAGAGAAGATATACAGATGGCAAATAAAAATGTAAAACAGTGTTCAGTGTCATTAGCCATTAGGGAAATGCACATTAAAACCACAATGAGATTCTACCGCACACCTATTAAAATGGCTAAAATAACAAGTACTGACAGCACTAAATGCCGGTGAGGATGCAGAGCAACCGGATCTCTCATACCTTGCTGGTAGGACTATAAAATGGCATAACCACTCTAGAAAACAGTTTGACAGTTTCTTATAAAGTTGCACATCTGCTTATCATATCACCCAGCAATGACACTCCTGGGTATTTATCCTAGACAAACCAAAACTATGTTCAAACAAAACTCTGTACATGAATGTCATGGTGGCTTTATTTTTAATAGTCAAAAACTGAAAACAGTCCGGGTGTGGCGGCTCATACCTGTAATTCCAGCACTTTGGGAGGCCGAGGCGGGTGGATCATGAGGTCAGGAGTTCGTGACCAGCCTGGGGAACATGGTGAAACCCCCGTCTCTACTAAAAAATACAAAAAATTGGCCAGGCACGGTGGCTTATGCCTGTAATCCCAGCACTTTGGGAGGCTGAGGCGGGCAGATCACGAGGTCAGGAGATCGAGACCATCCTGGCTAACATGGTGAAACCCCGTCTCCACTAAAAATACAAAAAATTATCTGGGCATGGTGGCAGGCACCTGTAGTCCCAGCTACTCGGGAGGCGGAGGCAGGAGAATGGCATGAACCCGGGAGGTGGAGCTTGCAGTGAGCTGAGATGGTGCCACTGCACTCCAGCTTGGGCGACAGAGTGAGACTCCATCTCTCAAAAAAAAAAAAACAAAACTGTAAATAAGCCAAACAGTCCTTAGTGAGTGGACTGAAAGCAAACTGGAAGTACATCCATGCCATGAGACCACTCTCAGCCATAAAAGTAATGAGCTATTGATACACACAACTTGAATGAATCTCAAGGGCATTGTGGTGAGTTTTACACACAACTTGAATGAATCTCAAGGGCATTGTGGTGAGTTTTTAAAAGCTAATCTCAAAGGGTTGTATACTATATGATTCCATCTAGGTACCATTCTCAAAGCCAAAAAAAAAAAAAAAAAGCGATGAAGAACGAATCCATGATTGCCAAGTGTTATGGTTGGGACAAGGGTCTGACTGTTAAGAGGTAACATGACAGAGTTTCTTTGTATTGACAGTTACTCGTATCTATACATCTGATAAAATTCATAGAGCTATACACTGAAAATGCAAAGTGGTACATTCAAAACTAGTAAAACACAAATAAGATCCATACCTGTATTAACAGTATTGTACCAGTATCAGTTTCCTGATTTTACCAAAGTGCTATGAATATGTAAGACATATCATTGCAGAAGCTGGGTGAAGGGTAATATAGGAACTCTGTATTATTTTTGCAACTTTCTTTAAGTCTTAAACTCTCTAAATAACTAGATAGATGTATATATACCTATATATGTTATGTGTGTGTGTGCATGTGTATGTGTCTGTGTGTGTATCTTTGATCCCCAGCAGTCTAGATCTGCCCTGCCCTTCAAACAGTCATTAGTGTTATTGCTCATTAACCTCTCTTTGGACTCCTGGTCTCATTCCATTTTCAGTCCTTTGGTATTTCAGAGCAGTTTAAATACTTGGACTATTTCTCTTACTTTCTTGCTAGCTCAGCCATATTTTATCCTGCATTTTTAGGTATTTGTAGCTGAAATATTTTTCAGACTAGGCTAACTTTTCCACAGTATTGGTGGAATAATTGTTCTGCTATAGAGGAATAAGAGGACTAAAAAGGATTATAAAATGAAATTTTCCCTAAGTGCTGAGAAGTGGACAAGCTCAGAGCAGCTGAGTTCTACAAAGGCCAGTTTAATCAATAAAATGGTTTTTAAATCAATAAACAATTCTATATACCAAGTGGAAAGAGCATGGGTTTTGGTATGAGATAGACAAGCTGTATTCACACTCTAAGCACAGAAGTTATTTACCAGTTGCTGTATCAGTTGGCTTAGACCCAGCTTGTTGTGGGTAACAAATGTGAACCCCCAAAATCTAAGACAGGTCTCAGTTAATTTAGAAAGTTTATTTTGCCAAAAAGTTAAGGATGTGCGCCCGTGACACAGCCTCAGGAGGTCTTGACGACATGTGCCCAAGGTGATCAGAGCACAGCTTGGTTTTGTACATTTTAGGGAGACATGAAACATCAATCAACATATGTAAGATGAACATTGGTTTGGTCTAGAAAGGTGGGACATCTCAAAGTGAGGAGGGGGCTTCCAGGTCTTAGGTAGATAAGAAACAAATGCTTGCATTCTTTTGAGTTTCTGATTACCCTTTCCAAAGGAGGCAATCAGATATACATTTATCTCCGTGAGCAGACGGATGACTTTGAATAGAAGGGAGGCAGGTTTGACCTAAAAAGTTCCCAGCTTGACTTTTCCCTTTAGCTTAGTGATTTGGAGGCCCCAAGATTTTTTGTTCACACAAATAACCATGAAATCTCAGGGGCTTGCCCCAACAAAGGTTAATTTTTACTCATGTTACGTGCTGCTGCTCCTGTGAATTGGCTCTGGGATCCAGGCTAAAGGAGCAGCCTCTGTCCCTTCTTTCTTTTTTCCGCCCTCAATTCCCCTGTATGTGACTCATCTTCCTAGCATGCTAGTTGCTTCTTTGGCTTTCCAGCCCCTTCCTCTGCCTCTGCTGTAATAGCCCCTTCTCTTCAAAGGGGAGGGGAGGGGAAGTTATCAAATGGCTTTTTGACTGAGTTACTCAGGGAAGAAGGAAGGGAGGAAGGAAGGGGCTAGGGAAAGAAGGAAGGAAAGCATGATGGTAAAACATTTATCACAAATTTTCATGAAGCCTACATGATCCCAGGTAGTACGGTGCCTGGCAAAGCACAGGTGCTGAATACTGTTGATCGTCCCTCTCTTTTTCATCTTTCATTTGCCTATTCTCTGTAGTAGCCTAAGTTTTCTTTTACTCTAGGTCCTGTGGATGGGGAATGTTAGTCTTAGCAGTGTGTTTATTAGGACAGAATCTTCTCAACAAAGCAAGCTGATGGTCTGTGGAGTTGGTCATAGGCACTGAATCTGTAGCTGGATCTGCTGATGCTGGTGGTGCTTGTGGAATACCTGGCTTGTGGAAGAAAATGTACCTCACACTCAATTTTCCTCTTGCGTGTAAGAAGGCACTCCATGACCAGTGCTGGAGACACTGGGTTGTAGCAGATAAAGGATTTACCCATAGGGTCACAAAAGGAGGAAGTGGGAGGGAATCTTGAATCCATCTGTCTGAGGAGTTTGGGGCTAGAGTCTTCAGGGTTTTGGAGTGGGCCCAAGTGTGGAGAGTGTTGATTGGTGGAAGAATGCAGAGTGAAGTCATGGGACAGGGAGATGAAGAAGCTGTGTTCTCATGCTCATCCTGTTCTTCTGTGAGGGTCTCCAAACTGGTTGCTGAAATTTGGGTCTGAAAAACATCTTAAGTGATCCTTAGACAAAAGCCTTATGATTCTGTCAGAGATCATCTCTATAGGGACAACAGGGATGCAAATCAATTTTTAAACAGTCTTATTGAAGCAGGATATTTCCCTGACCCCTTTGTAGGACTCGGAATAGGGGTGCCCCGTTTACTCAGCCCACAACTCTCAACTCCTTGCGGGAGGGAGCACATGAGCAAATGAGGCAGGAACTGGAGTACACAACCACTGGAATCAACTGGCCACTTCGTCACCAGCAGGAGTGAATGCCACTCATTGAGACTCACTGCTCTCCACCCCTTATGGGAGGGAGCACACAGTGAGCAGGTACAGGAGCCAGGGTGAGCACTTTTGAGCACCAGCAGAAGCAAACTCCATGTGTGCCCCAAGGCAGTGTCTGGTGGGGTGCCTACAACCCCTGAAGCCCCAGAGGGAGTGTTACAGTGGTCTTTTAGCTCTGCCATCTGCAGACAGCTTAAGTGTTAACAACTCTGCAGGCCCTCCCTCTGCCTTTCCGTGTGAGGGAGCTGTCTTCTACCAGTGAGGGCAAAGGGCCAGTGTGACAGCCTTTTGCATCTGCACTTGTGGCTCCTGGGCTCTTGTTTGGCATCCAGGAGAAATGAGTTTGGACAGATGAATTGAAGGATGGTAAAAACAGGATTTTATCGCTGATAAAAGTGGTCCTCAGCAGGAAGGGGAGCTGAAAAGGGGATGTGCTGGGAAGGTAATCTTCCCCTGAAGTCCGGCCATCTCTGGCCAGATTCTTCCCTGAAGTTATGCTGTCAAGCTGTCTCTCTGAAGTCAAGCCACTTCTCTCCAATGTTGAGCCATAGTCTCTTATGTCAAGCTGCTTCTCCTTTCTGCCGGCTGAGTCTGGAGTTTTTATAAGCACAGTATAGGGGGCAGGGCAGTCCATGGGTGGTTTTGGAAAAGGCAACATTTGAGCGGGAAAACAGGGATATAAGTTCTCATTTTGGGCTGCAGTCTCAGGCTTTTTGGCTTGAGGATGGGGTTCGTCAGGGACCTGCCCCTGTCTCCTGGAATTTCTCTGCCTCCTGTCTCCATCATTATGATCTTAACGTCTGAAATTCTATCTCTAGGAACAATGGGGATGCAAATGGTCAGGATCTAGTGACCTTTGGTAACAAGGAAGTGGGCTGAATTGTGGCCTGATTAGTTCTTTTTTTTTTTTTTTTTTTTTGAGACAGAGTCTCACCCCAGGCATGCTGGAGTGTAGTGGCACAATATTGGCTCACTGCAACCTCTGCCTCCTGGGTTCAAGTGATTCTCATGCCTCTGCCTCCTGAGTAGCAGGGATTACAGACACATGCCACCAAGCCTGACTAATTTTTGTATTTTTAGTAGAGACCAGGTTTCAGCATGTTGGCCGGGCTGGTCTCAAACTCCTGAACTCAAGCCATCCACCTGCCTTGGCCTCCCAAAGTGCTGGGATTATAGGTGTGAGCCACTGTGCCTGGCTGATTAGTGTTTTTTTGTTTTTGTTTTTTTGTAGATTCAGAGTCTTGCTCTGTTGCCCCAGGCTGGAGTGCAGTGGCACAATCTCAGCTCACTGCAACCTCTGCCTCCTGGGTTCAAGCATTTCTCCTGCCTCAGCCTCCGAGTAGCTGGAACTATAGGCACATGCTGCCATGCCCAGCTAATTTCTTTTGTATTTTAGTAGAGATAGGGTTTCACCGTGTTGCCCAGGCTGGTCTCAAACTCCTGAGCTCAGGCAGTCTGCCCGTCTCGGCCTCCCAAAGTGCTAGGATTACAGGCGTGAGCCACTGTGCCTGGCTGATTTGTTCTTAATTATAACTATATTTCTGTCCAAAACCCAGCATGCCATTCTTGTCAACCCTGTGGGGATGGTTTCAGTTTGGTCATTTTGGGCAAAAAATGTGATTATCACCACCACTCTGAGTCCGGAGACTAAGGTTTCCTAAACAATTCTCAGAAGGCCATTCCTGGCAGCACTTAAACCCTGAGGAAGCAAAGAGAAACCTGAAACAAAATCCAGATGCCCTTCAGGAATATGTGCTTCGTTATGGAGGGCAGTGCTGCCAAAGAGAAATGACTTCTCAGGTTTTCCATATATTGTCCCAAATGGTCTTCTCGGAAAAGTAAACTTGGTGCCATGTTGATTAATGTGCTACAGAGTAAGAAGGCTCAGGCAGCCCTGGAAATGGTGCTCCCCCGAGGTGGGAAGGACTGGTAAGCCCACTTTCCCTTGTTCTCCCAAGCTCTCTACCAAAAGGCTGCCTGAGAGGGGGTGGGCAGAGCGGCCTGGACAGCACGGTCAATGTCCAAGCTCATTTTGGGTCCCTGTTTGTGTGGTGCCTCTGGACTGTCAGGTAGGGCCACCTGGGTTCAGATATTTCTTAATCAGCATCCTTATAGAAGTTCTCTAATTAGACACATTAGAAATCAACAGAAGGAGGGCTGGGTGCAGTGGCTTGTGCCCATAGTCCCATCCCTTTGGGAGGCCGAAGCCAGAGAATTACTTGAGGCCAGGAGTTCAAGACCAGCCTGGGCAACATAGTGAGACTCGATCTCTACAAAACATTTTTTTAAATTAGCCAGTTGTGGTAATGTGCAACTGTAGCCACAGCTACTCCAGAGGCTAAGGTGAGAGGATTGCTTGAGCCCAAGAGTTTGAGGCTGCAGTGAGCTATGATTGCACCACTGTACTCCAGTCTGGGCAACAGAGTGAGACCCCATCTCTAAACAGAAATAAAAAAGAAATCAACAGACTAGAGGGAGGAGTAGGGATGAGAGGATGGATAGAAGAGTGAGTAGGGAGGAAACTAACACTGATGGAATATCTGCTATGATCAGACACCCTATGTAACAATAATGATAATAATAATAATAATAGTATCTTATATTATTGAGTGTTTACTATGTTCCAGGCTCTGTTCTAGGTACTTTATGTTTATTATCTCATTTGCTCCTTCTAGCAACCTTGTGATGTGGGCAATATTATTTAGCTCCACTTATAGGAACCAAGACATTCGGTGACTTGCCCCAATAGACATAGCTTGAAAGGGGTGGGGGCAGGATATGAATGGACATTATGACTTCGTTTAATACCTACAACAACCCACTGATACAGATTTTTATCATCTCCACTATGCAGGTGAGGAAACTAAAACCCTCAGACCAGCAACATCGCCATCACATGGGAGCTTGTGAGAAAAGCAGAATCTTGGGCCCCACTTCAGACTTGCTGAGTCAGAATCTGTACATCCACCACTGAGGTAGGCCAGTGGGCTCCAGCCATTCTCAAACCGGAGTATGTGTAAGAGTCCCTCAGAGACTGTGTTAAAACCCAGATTTCTGGGTCCCAGCCTTAGAAATTCTGAATCAGTGGTTTTTAGCTAAAGTATTTTGGCCCTCTGTAGAACTGCTTTTACCAAAAGCAATTGATACCAAGTACTTTTTGGTATCATATTATCTGCTGATGTTAACTGATGCCAGAAGCAAAATTTTCATACCAGATTCGAGCAAGTGTCAAAGTTTTTTTTTTTTTTGGAAAAGTAGTTTTTGTTTTTATTTTTAATTTATTTTTTAATATTATTATACTTCAAGTTCTAGGGTACATGTGCATAACGTGCAGGTTTGTTACGTATGTATACTTGTGCCATGTTGCTGTGCTGCACCCATCAACTCGTCAGCACCCATCAACTCGTCATTTACATCAGGTATAACTCCCAGTGCAATCCCTCCCCCCTCCCCCTTCCCCATGATAGGCCCCGGTGTGTGATGTTCCCCTTCCCGAGTCCAAGTGATCTCATTGTTCAGTTCCCACCTATGAGTGAGAACATGCGGTGTTTGGTTTTCTGTTCTTGTGATAGTTTGCTGAGAATGATGGTTTCCAGCTGCATCCATGTCCCTACAAAGGACACAAACTCATCCTTTTTTATGGCTGCATAGTATTCCATGGTGTATATGTGCCACATTTTCTTAATCCAGTCTGTCACTGATGGACATTTGGGTTGATTCCAAGTCTTTGCTATTGTGAATAGTGCCGCAATAAACATACGTGTGCATGTGTCTTTATAGCAGCCTGATTTATAATCCTTTGGGTATATACCCAGTAATGGGATGGCTGGGTCATATGGTACATCTAGTTCTAGATCCTTGAGGAATCGCCATACTGTTTTCCATAATGGTTGAACTAGTTTACAATCCCACCAACAGTGTAAAAGTGTTCCTATTTCTCCACATCCTCTCCAGCACCTGTTGTTTCCTGACTTTTTAATGATCGCCATTCTAACTGGTGTGAGATGGTATCTCATTGTGGTTTTGATTTGCATTTCTCTGATGGCCAGTGATGATGAGCATTTTTTCATGTGTCTGTTGGCTGTATGAATGTCTTCTTTTGAGAAATATCTGTTCACATCCTTTGCCCACCTTTTGATGGTGGTGTTTGTTTTTTTCTTGTAAATTTGTTTGAGTTCTTTGTAGGTTCTGGATATTAGCCCTTTGTCAGATGAGTAGATTGCAAAAATTTTCTCCCATTCTGTAGGTTGCCTGTTCACTCTGATGGTAGTTTCTTTTGCTGTGCAGAAGCTCTTTAGTTTAATGAGATTCCATTTGGCAATTTTGGCTTTTGCTGCCGTTGCTTTTGGTGTTTTAGACATGAAGTCTTTGCCCATGCCTATGTCCTGAATGGTACTACCTAGGTTTTCCTCTAGGGTTTTTATGGTATTAGGTCTAACATTTAAGTCTCTAATCCATCTTGAATTAATTTTCGTATAAGGAGTAAGGAAAGGATCCAGTTTCAGCTTTCTACTTATGGCTAGCCAATTTTCCCAGCACCATTTATTAAATAGGGAATCCTTTCCCCATTTCTTGCTTCTCTCAGGTTTGTCAAAGATCAGATGGCTGTAGATGTGTGGTATTATTTCTGAGGACTCTGTTCTGTTCCATTGGTCTATATCTCTGTTTTGGTACCAGTACCATGCTGTTTTGGTTACTGTAGCCTTGTATTATAGTTTGAAGTCAGGTAGCGTGATGCCTCCAGCTTTGTTCTTTTGACTTAGGATTGTCTTGGGAATGCGGGCTCTTTTTTGGTTCCATATGAACTTTAAAGCAGTTTTTTCCAATTCTGTGAAGAAACTCATTGGTAGCTTGATGGGGATGGCATTGAATCTATAAATAACCTTGGGCAGTATGGCCATTTTCACGATATTGATTCTTCCTATCCATGAGCATGGTATGTTCTTCCATTTGTTTGTGTCCTCTTTTATTTCACTGAGCAGTGGTTTGTAGTTCTCCTTGAAGAGGTCCTTTACATCCCTTGTAAGTTGGATTCCTAGGTATTTTATTCTCTTTGAAGCAATTGTGAATGGAAGTTCATTCATGATTTGGCTCTCTGTTTGTCTGTTACTGGTGTATACGAATGCTTGTGATTTTTGCACATTAATTTTGTATCCTGAGACTTTGCTGAAGTTGCTTATCAGCTTAAGGAGATTTTGGGCTGAGACAATGGGGTTTTCTAAATATACAATCATGTCGTCTGCAAACAGGGACAATTTGACTTCTTCTTTTCCTAACTGAATCCCCTTGATTTCTTTCTCTTGCCTGATTGCCCTAGCCAGAACTTCCAACACTATGTTGAATAGGAGTGGTGAGAGAGGGCATCCCTGTCTTGTGCCAGTTTTCAAAGGGAATTTTTCCAGTTTTTGCCCATTCAGCATGATATTGGCTGTGGGTTTGTCATAAATAGCTCTTATTATTTTGAGAATTGTTGGGTTTTTTTCTTGGCTGAAAGCTTGTTTATTTTGAGTACGTTCCATCAATACTATGATTTCTTTGGAAAGGACTTTTTTTTTTAGCATGAAGGGCTGTTGAATTTGTCAAAAGCCTTTTCATCTATTGAAAAGGATAATAAATAGCTCTTATTATTTTGAGGTACGTTCCATCAATACTGAATTTCTTGAGCGTTTTTAGCATGAAGGGCTGTTGAATTTTGTCAAAAGCCTTTTCTGCATCTATTGAGATAATCATGTGGTTCTTGTCTTTGGTTCTGTTTATATGCTGGATTATGTTTATTGATTTGTGAATGTTGAACCAGCCTTGCATCCCAGGGATGAAGCCCACTTGATCATGGTGGATAAGCTTTTTGATGTGCTGCTGAATCCGGTTTGCCAGTATTTTATTGAGGATTTTTGCATCGATGTTCATCAGGGATATTGGTCTAAAACTCTCTTTTTTTGTTGTGTCTCTGCCAGGCTTTGGTATCAGGATGATGCTGGCCTCATAAAATGAGTTAGGGAGGATTCCCTCTTTTTCTATTGATTGGAATAGTTTCAGAAGGAATGGTACCAGCTCCTCCTTGTACTTCTGGTAGAATTCAACTGTGAATCCATCTGGTCCTGGACTTTTTTTGGTTGGTAGGCTATTAATTATTGCCTCAATTTCAGAGCCTGCTATTGGTCTATTCAGGGATTCAACTTCTTCCTGGTTTAGTCGTGGAAGAGTGTAAGTGTCCAGGAAATTATCCATTTCTTCTAGATTTTCTAGTTTATTTGCGTAGAGGTGTTTATGGTATTCTCTGATGGTAGTTTGTATTTCTGTGGGGTCAGTGGTGATATCCCCTTTATCATTTTTTATTGCGTCTATTTGATTCTTCTCTCTTTTCTTCTTTATTAGTCTTGCTAGTGGTCTGTCAATTTTGTTGATCTTTTCAAAAAACCAACTCCTGGATTCATTGATTTTTTGGAGGGTTTTTTGTGTCTCTATCTCCTTCAGTTCTGCTCTGATCTTAGTTATTTCTTGCCTTCTGCTAGGTTTTGAATGCGTTTGCTCTTGCTTCTCTAGTTCTTTTAATTGTGATGTTAGAGTATCAATTTTAGATCTTTCCTGCTTTCTCTTGTGGGCATTTAGTGCTATAAATTTCCCTCTACACACTGCTTTAAATGTGTCCCAGAGATTCTGGTATGTTGTATCTTTGTTCTCATTGGTTTCAAAGAACATCTTTATTTCTGCCTTCATTTCGTTATGTACCCAGTAGTCATTCAGGAGCAGGTTGTTCAGTTTCCATGTAGTTGAGCGGTTTTGATTGTGTTTCTTAGTCCTGAGTTCTAGTTTGATTGCACTGTGGTCTGAGAGACAGTTTGTTATAATTTCTGTTCTTGTCCATTTGCTGAGGAGTGCTTTACTTCCAATTATGTGGTCAATTTTGGAATAAGTGCGATGTGGTGCTGAGAAGAATGTATATTCTGTTGATTTGGGGTGGAGAGTTCTATAGATGTCTATTAGGTCTGCTTGCTGCAGAGATGAGTTCAATTCCTGGATATCCTTGTTAACTTTCTGTCTCGTTGATCTGTCTAATGTTGACAGTGGAGTGTTGAAGTCTCCCATTATTATTGTATGGGAGTCTAAGTCTCTTTGTAAGTCTCTAAGGACTTGCTTTATGAATCTGGGTGCTCCTGTATTGGGTGCATATATATTTAGGATAGTTAGCTCTTCCTGTTGAATTGATCCTTTTACCATTATGTAATGGCCTCCTTTGTCTCTTTTGATCTTTGATGGTTTAAAGTCTGTGTTATCAGAGACTAGTATTGCAACCCCTGCTTTTTTTTGTTCTCCATTTGCTTGGTAAATCTTCCTCCATCCCTTTATTTTGAGTCTCTGCGTGTAAGATGGGTCTCCTGAATACAGCAGACTGATGGGTCTTGACTCTTTATCCAGTTTGCCAGTCTGTGTCTTTTAATTGGAGCATTTAGTCCATTTACATTTAAGGTTAATATTGTTATGTGTGAACTTGATCCTGCCATAATGATATTAACTGGTTTTTTTGCTCGTTAGTTGATGCAGTTTCTTCCTAGCCTTGATGGTCTTTACATTTTGGCATGTTTTTGCAATGGCTGGTACCGGTTGTTCCTTTCCATGTTTAGTGCTTCCTTCAGGGTCTCTTGTAAGGCAGGCCTAGTGGTGACAAAATCTCTAAGCATTTGCTTATCTGTAAAGGATTTTATTTCTCCTTCACTTATGAAACTTAGTTTGGCTGGATATGAAATTCTGAGTTTAAAATTCTTTTCTTTAAGAATGTTGAATATTGGCCCCCACTCTCTTCTGGCTTGTAGAGTTTCTGCTGAGAGATCTGCTGTTAGTCTGATGGGCTTCCCTTTGTGGGTAACCCGACCTTTCTCTCTGGCTGCCCTTAAGATTTTTTCCTTCATTTCAACTTTGGTGAATCTGGCAATTATGTGTCTTGGAGTTGCTCTTCTCGAGGAGTATCTTTGTGGCGT